GAGAGAGAGAGAGAGAGAGAGAGAGAGAGAGAGAGAGAGAGAGAGAGAGAGAGAGAGAGAGAGCTTGATGATAACTCGCATGTTTGTCATTCTATTCTATGTGTTTGCAGAGTGCCATGATGATCCTGCAGTCAAGGACAACGATGCGGATGCTGAGCATAATAGAGACGACAGCACAAGTGGAGTGGATTGGTGCAACGAGTGCATGGGTGCAGCAGCTGCTGCTAATGATCGAACGGAAGTTCAATAAAATTACATGCATCTGCAGCAGGCTGATCTACCACAGCAATGATATCGCACCCAAGCTGTTCCCAAAAAGCATCGATTGGAACCTTAGGGCAATGTTTTGCTGCATTCGGCATGCAGTTTTTTTTTTTTTTTTTTTTTTTTTCCCAATGTGGTGTGTTTAACACCACACATTCGTTGAATGTCATTTTTTATTCAGAACTTTATCTGATTGCAATCCAGTACCTTTCACACTGAGTAAATGTCGCAACCTTGTATTACTGATCTCTCCTCAGGTTTAAAAAAAAAAAAAAAAAAAAAAAAAAAAAAAAAAGATCTCTCCTCAGGTTGGCAGACACACAAATTTACACCCCCCTTTCCCCCTCTCCTGCCCACCCCACCGGATATACACATGCAGCTACTGTCGTCACCTAACAGCAATTTCGTCAAAGACTCAAAACGGACAATTTTTAATGATTTTTTATTTTTTCAACGAAATTGAAACCGACTAATTTGGCCCTAATCCGCTCCGAGCCAGGACGAAATTTGATGAATTTGAGGGTCCGGCGTTCTTAAAATGCCGGACCCGTAGGATGTATTTGGACCTACGGGGAGTACGGGGGGGGGGGGGGGGGGGGGGGGGGGGGTGTAACGTTTCTGTACCTATTTGATTCTGACAGGACGCCAAGCAAAAAAACAAGCAGAGATCTGTTTACTTACTAACAGTCACATCTGTGTACCATCCAACCTCACGAGCCCCATGAGTACTGGATAGTGGAAAATACCATATAAACAATCTTCTTTTTTTGCAGTATTGCTCCCATGATATTAGGAGCATTAGCCACAATGGCTCAAAACAAAGTCAAAAAACTTTTAGCTACATATCGTCACAAACAGAACTGCCCGGTAAACCGTAGGCAGAGAGAGAGAAGAAGACAACAAATGAGGGGCTGTGACAAACTGTTTCGTCGGAGTTTCACCGACTCATCAGGAGGCTGAACCCTCAACAGTCTGCAGAATCCCCTCACTGATTACACT